TTTTTTTTTTTTTTTTTTATTTAATTAAAATTATTCCGAGTGGGGAAAAAAAATTGAAACCTGTCGGAAAACTATTCACTACAGAATCCTTCTCAACAACGAAAATCAAAAATCTTGCTGTCGACACAAAACGTGATCAAAGATCAATCAAATCACTTTTCCTCCACTTGAAAGGAAAGTGCGTCCCTGAAGAGGTTAATAGACGAATGATTCCTTGCGAAAAGAAATGCAACGAGTTAATTTTATGTTTTAACGCGAGGCAGCTCGATTTCCGCGAATCGATCGACACGTTACACAACTATTATTAGTAAATAATCATAATCTTGTGCAGAAAGGAATTACCTACTCATAAAACAACACGTAGCAGACCTCCCTGAAACGTCAAGTGGATCGTGTTCATTCTGGGCGTCGTCTGAATCCCGCGTCGTCGTGGATATAAAGAAAAAGAAAAGAAAAAAAAGAGGGGAAAAAAACGAAAGGAAAAAAAGAACACACTACACACACACACACACACACACACACATACACACAGACGAAGAGAAAATTTCTCGCGATCCTTACTTACTTGACTTGGGTTTGCCGTCGCGGAGCAACGTGGCGTACATGTAGACGAGGAAGATCATGCTGCCGAAGTAGAGGTAAAGGTAGAAACCTTCGTAGAACGACGGCGGTATGTAGGTGGATATCACTTCTGCCATGGGGAAAGCGATTCCCATGACGACCAGCAGCTTTCCGTAAAGGGCGCTAAAAGTCGTCGCCAGGGCGTCGCTGTGCAACAAAACGGAAATTATCGTGCTCGAACGTGAACGCTCGCCGCGTATTTTTTTTTTTTTTTTTTCGTTTCAGGTCCGCCGCGCGTCCGTTCGATTTCTCTCCGCCGAGGAAATTGGACTATTTCCGGCGCCTACCTGTTGTTTCGCCGGTAGTTTCTCGGCTTCGACATCGAGCGTCCCGCCAGAGATCCCGGCAAGAATCGTGGAGGACAGATACGAGAAACGAAAACGAGCGAATTCTTCTCTTTTGAAAAGAAAAAAAAAAAAAAAGAACGCGAGCGAAACGAGGCATCGGGAAGCGTCAGTGGAGATACCATTGGCCGCAAATACATCCACCCCCGTAAGAATTGGCTCAATTACGAGTAATCGTGCGCTGGACGGTGAGCGCGTGTGCGTTTGATTCATAAAGTGGCGGTAATTGCGGTGCAGACGTCGGTGCAGGATAACCCAGGAGGATCACGTGAAATTTCCGTGGTGACCGGCATATATATTCTATCTCTCGCCCCCTCTCCTATTCACGTTAATTCACATGGAATGGAAATCAGCGATGAAGGTGTGAAGGTGTCTCTTTTGGTCGGATCGGCGCGCAAGCGCGCAACTTCCCAACCGTCCCGATATGACCCGATTTAATCGCGCGCGTCCGACTTTTCCACGCGTCACGTCGTCGCAGCATCCGCGAACCACTTTCCGATATATAATCTAGATGCGAATCGCTCGACCTCGCTGCTTTTCTCGCACCGGACAGACGATCGGATCGCTCTTGATCGTCGAGTTGGGACAGAGTTTAAAATTTTCAACAGTCTCTGTCTTTCTTTCTTTCTTTTTTCTCTTCTTCTTCTTTCGTCGAGATTGAAATTTATTAAAAAAATCGTGCGCGATCAGCGATAATGATCGTATCGCACACCGTCCAGTTGTCGCACTCGTCCAGTTCGACGTCGACGGAGAGAAACGAAGAAGAAAAGAGAGGCAAATTCGAGACACTCGTGTACTCACCATCCAAGCTTCTTCCACTTCCGGTCTTCGGCGACGTCGAGGAAGGTCGGTGCTGGATAGCAGACCGCGGAAATGGGCTGCGAGGAGCATGGTAGAGCCAGGGCGAACTGGGGTGGCCGGTGAGCGCGGGAGGGTGAGCTGCTGCTGTGTCTAGACAGCGTTTCCGGTGAAACGATTACCGCGGACGGTGAAGCCGGTGACGGTAGCGCAGCCGGCAATCCTGGCCAGCTGAACAGACCGTGTTTCCTCATTATTTCTGCCCTGTCCTTGGCCGATCGATTCATTGGTATCGACGGCTCAATTACCAGGATAATTACAAGCTACGCCGCTCGGGGCATACCCGATAAACCGATTCTTTTCATTTCTTTCTTCTCCTTCTTGTTGTCTTACCTGCGATCTTAACTCTTTTCTTTCTTTTCTCTCTCTCTCTCTCTCTCTCTCTCTCTCTTTCTCATCGTTAACTCGTCGTGATTGCTTCGTAACTTGTCACGTCGAGTTACGCGAAGAAGGCGGGATCCTTCGATTCAACGCGCTCGTGGTACGTACGTACGTGTTATACACACGAACATACGCGCAACGAAGCAATTTTCTCTAATCAATGCGCGCAGCTATACGACGACAGCGGTAAGCGCGTGGGAATCAGAATCGATCTCGTTCTTTCCGTTCCCGTTCAGGTCGGTTCCAATTTTCATCCGCGCGAATCCTGCCCGAGGTTCGGAGGCAATTTGTCCCGGCTAGCGGGTGCTTATCTCTCTCTCTCTCTCTCTCTCTCTCTCTCTCTCTCTCTCTCTCTCTCTTTCTATGTCGAGCGGATTCGCGAGAGCGTTACCGCGCCCTGTGCTCGTAATTCGTTTAAGCGAGTTTCCCGAGTGGCAGCGAACGCGCGGACACACGGCCCGTTTGGACTGGCCGTGTCGTTGTTACTCGCCGGCAATCGGAACTCGTTAACCCGCGACGACAAATGGCCGGGAAAACTTTTCACCGGAGAGTTTCCACTCGAGCCATATTGTAGGACCACGGCGACACGGCCACGTCGACGAAGAGTATCGTTAACGTACCGGGGGTTCAAAAGCTGGCCGCGCGAGGACACGGCGAGGAATAATTAAGCGCGCGTTGCCGAGGAAGAAAAAATATTTTCTCCCGTTTTTTTTTAATTTTTATTTTTTTCTATTTTTTTATTTTTATTTTTTTTTTTTTTTTCGTTACGCAGCCCGGTTAATGAAACCCGGGGAACCCACTCTAGCCTTTTTCTCCTTTAATTTCTTTTTTCCCGCGCGCCGCGAACGCGAGCGAGTAATTAAAGAGGGCGCGAGTTCTCGCATTTGCACGATCGCGACTCCTCCCTCGTGTTCCGTTTCCGGGTAGCGCGGGCTTCCCACTCGAAAACGTCCACTCGTTCGTCCTTGTTGAAACGAAAAAAAGAGAGAAAGAACGAAGAAAGAACGCGAACAATTAACGCGTGTACGAACAAAGTATCGTAGGGCTCTGGCTCTGTTAGTCTATCGCGACGTCTAAAAGTTTCGAGGAATTGAAAGGGGAGCCTGAGCCCCGCGTACGGTCGCCGCGCGTCAAATTTAAGGTCAACGCGGTGCCGTAACGGTGTTTGATACACGTCGCATTGACACTGGCTGCAGGAAGAGACCTACTAGTAGAGCGCGCTACTGACGGTCTCGCGAGCGGTCGTTAATGCGACGACTTTCGAACCCGGCGACCGTTTATCTAATGATGATCCCTTCTCCGATCCGGTGGCCGGCGAAACACGGCCTAGCTTCGTTTCTCACACACGCACACGTGCCAACTCGAGGAGAGGGCAGAATAATTTCGTCCCTGCTCGCTCCTCCGAAATCGAAGAAACCGATGGAAATTCACCGATATCGCAACGACTCGTAGATGCACGAGAGGAACGTGAATTATTTTATTAGTCGCTGCCGCGATTCAATTTACCGCGAGCTTGATCTACCCTTCGAGCCAGCCACCTTTTGCGCGCGTTACCGGAGAAAGGATTTTTCGAGTCGACGTCGAGTCGGAGCAAACAGTTTTAGAATGTAGAATGTAAGCGACGGAGGCGAGGTTGATTGACAGAAACGGGGTAATTCAATTGCTTCGATTATTAACGGCGTGAGCGCAGTTTTGGAAACGGGTCACCTTCTATTTTCGCGTATTTCCCCTACGTTCAACGATTATCGATATTCGGTGTTGAATATTCCAAGAGCCGGTCGTCCCGCTTGTTAATCCAAAGAGACGCGTTACACCGGCGAAATAAACGCGAGTGCGTCGAGGAACGGTAATAAATCGACGAGTGGCAACGGTCTAGCCCCTCTACTCGGGAGATACCGGAGTTCGAAAACCGGGAGATGGTTGTTCCGCGCGTTTAAGAAGGTAAACGAGGCACCGCGTAAAGCGACCTACCCCTACAAGGCCGGCGGTAGGCAGCGAGAGGGACGTGGATGAGTTTCGTCCTTTTCACTCGAGAGATAGGGAGGTTGGATGGGCTGCGCGCGCGAGCGTTTGCACGCAACCTGGTGAAAGAGAAAACGAGCGAGATGGAGAGTAGAGGCGAACCTGGGAGAGACAAAGAGAGGGTGAGGGGATAGCTGGTCTCTTGGCTCGAAGCTTTTTGAAATAATCACGTAGTGTTGAAGAAGCAGAAGAGCGCGAGAGGGTGGGTGTTGCCGTGGGACGAGAGGCAGCAGGGAAAGAGGGCACTGAGGGGTTGATTCAGTGGCTGAGTGCCGTTCCCTCATTGTGGCACGAGTGTATCCGTGGCTCGAGGACTCGGGGCCTGGGGCTCACCCTTGTTTCGGTAGCTCCGCCACTCCGCCACCCCTTCGGGATATCCCTCAGGAATCTATTCCGCGTCTCGTCTATTCCTTCGGCCGTTCGTTCTCTTTGCGCGCATTTCGGACTCGCGCCACCGGCGAACGCCGCCTTTTTTTAATCGTCCTTCCGTCAAACTTCCGCCGCGTAAATACAAACTTCCACCCGCTAAATGCTTTTCCCTTCCCCGCGGACTCCGCGATGATTACACTCACAACGTTCCATCGTTACGTCGGGGCGAGTACGCACGAAGCTCTCAGGAATATCGATAGCTTCGCTCAAGTTGTAGAAAATGAAATCGAGCAATGCTTCGCGACGACAAATTGAAACTATTGGATTAGTTCCTCGGGGTTGCGAACTCGGGGATGCGAACAATCCGCCGTTCGTTAATGGAAACTCGAAATTCTTGTTCCGTCCGTAGAATAAGTTGCAACTCGGAGCGTTTCGACGCGGCCCCCGACGACTCGATCGATCGAAATCTCCTCTCCCCTCTCGGAAAAGCATGCGAAACATACGAGGACGAGGCCCTTGTCGTCGCCGTGCCATCGGGAATCGTAGACGAACGTGTGCCAGTGTGTGCGTGCGCGATTTCAGGATTCCTGGAAAGTCGCCTGGAGTGAGAAATGGGGAGAGAGAGAGAGAGAGAGACAAGAGCAACCAGATCGATTCGTGGCCTCGACAGGGTGGAATCGTAGTACCTGAGGGACGTCTCCTTGATGAGCATATCCGTGACCTTGGCTGGTGGTTTCCTCGGCCGTCTCGACGGAATGTTGGCTGCTGTACTCACCAGCGGATCGCACACTCACGGCCCTGCGGCTCGTGTCACGGCACTCTCGGGCCCCGCATCACAAACTGAAGCCCTGCACGCACTCTCGCGCGAGTCCGCGCCACTCTCTCGGCTAATCTCTTGCTCCTTCTCTCTCCATCCCGTCCCTCTTTTTCTCTCTCTCTCTCTCTCTCCGTTTGCTCTGCTCCGTAGCCGGCTGTATCTATCGTCTCTGGATACGCGACCGTTTGACAGCGAGCTCGTTACCCGAATCAGATTCCCAGTGGCGTAACCCCTCGAATCGTCCAATCGATCCCGCGAGAGAGGTCCACGCGGTGAACCATCGCGATCGAATTGATGTTGAAAAGGAGACCGGAAGGAACGAGGGGGAAAGCAAGCGGCTTGGATCTCGAAATTTTCGAAATTACTTTTGGCCCATTCGGTTCGGGGTTCTCTCTCTCGATTGGCGATATCCTCCGGTTCCGGTGGAGCTTGACCGTGGAAGAAGGATCCGCAGCTCTCGTCTTGTCGGGAGGAAGGAAGAAAGGAAAGGAAAGGAAAGGAAACAGGTGGGAAGGGGGAGGGGGAGCTCTCTCGGTTCTCCTTTCCCCCGAATGAGTTTGCTTCAAAGGACTCTGGTGCGTCGAGTGCGCGTGTACCCTGATCAAATCTGCATGTAAATCGACGGAATAGGCCAGTCTTCCTGCTCTCGTCCGGACCGAAGCGAAGCGTGGCGAGACGAGGCGAGACGAAACGAAGGAGCGGACGGTTCACCGGGGGTTCCGGTGAAACGGGAAAGGAGGAGAGAGCTGGTAGCGGCAGTGAGAGAGAGAGAGAGAGAGAGAGAGAGAGAGAGAAAGGGATAGACCTTGGACGAGGAGAGGAAAGGAGAGAAACGACAGACACAGGAGAAGAGAAGGCAACGACGGAAGCGGGATGGAAGCGGCACGAAGGTCGTCCGTTGCTCGTAACGAAGTGACAGGTCAATATTAACTTGGGCGCCGTTGGCTACTCGTGCGTTCACGAATTCACGTTCGATATCCGCCGGAAGTAATCGAGTTCGCTACGAAATGAAGGCGGCCGACTATCCGCCGATCGGCCGCCGCAGATCGCATGGAAATTGCCGTTTCGGAGGGGCGGCAATTAATCGAACGACTCGTCCAAGCCCCGACAAACGGATAAATAATTGATTCACGCGCGGGACAACGCGGAGCACGATGGACGCGTTTCGATACGCGATACGAACCGAAAATGGCGAAACGATTGTTTCCATCGTCATCGATCGCGATCGAACGTTTGTTAACAGGTTTGGTTGACGCCGCGCGCCAAAGGTGTGGTACGCCTTTGACGTCTCGTTTCTTGGTGACTTGCAGATTAAATCCGGCAATTTCGCAGATTGAGGTCAGTGTTTCGCTTTGATCAAAAGCTCGCTCTCGCCATTTCGTCTTCGACTCGCCCTCCATTTATTTTTTTCTTTTTTTTTTTTTTTTTTTTGTAGCCGTCGACCGACTTTGGACAGACTCTAACGCGATCACCGGTTCTTTCTCTGGCTGGATCGAGAACGTGTGGGTAATTGCGCTTTGTTTGAAGTAAAAATCGTCGGAGCAAAACAGAGATGCTGAGCGACACGATTTTTCACGATCAAGTTCAATCGTGGACGTTGGACAACAAACCGCTACCAGCCGCTGCTTCCCTACTGAATGCACGGGAGCCGAGGGATGCGCGTTAATCGCGGACAGTGACTAATGTTCCATGGCTGTGAGTAGTGACGGCGGTGGTCACCTATTCGGATGAATAGACGAGGAGAAACAAGGTGGGAGGGAGCGGTAATTCATACGCTGACGTTACGCACGAATCCACAGAGCGAGAAATAATAGAAACCTGAAAAGTCTACAGAGAGATTTCCTCCTCGACGTAAATTTTCATTCTTCGAAAATTGATGGTGAATCTGATCGAGCTGACAAGTAACATCGACGAATTTGACATTGATCATTACGAGAAGAATGTCAAATCAGTTGTCGCGCGAGTACTCCCGTAATTACGGTCTATCTCGCGATATTTCAAACACGTTGAAAAATATATTCATCTCCCTCCGTCTTTTATTTCATTCAGGATTTTGTTTGCTCACTTAACCAACCACTCTTTTTTCAGTTCCTCGCGAAATCCAGAGAGAACTCGACTTGAGCGAAAGACGTGCGAAGAATCTCTAATAGTCGGGAATATTTTTGACAAAAAAAGAAAAAAAAAAACGAAGGGTTAAAAGAACGCTTGACAATAAATACCGACATGAATCGTTGCTGGGTCGTACCTTACGGTTTCCTTTCAACCATCTCTTGCAAGCAAAGATGTTTTCACAGCCCATTTTAACGATGCCCTTCTGAATCATTCGCAAGGCACATACAAGGACCAACGTCGTCTTTGTGTAACAAACAGACAGACTCAAGACCCACGCTAGAGACCGTTAACCCTAGTCTTTTTGTCTTTTTTTTTCTTTTTTTATATGGGGGTTTAGAGTCGCATCGACTACGAGGTCATTAGCGACGTGCTGGAATTATCTCTTTATAACTGGTCTAGTAGTTGGGTCTTCTTTAGATAGTTGATAATGTTTTTTTGTTGTTTCTGGCAGGTTACAGCGGTGTTTTGGTTTAATCCGTATTTACTTCTTATGTTTCGGTAGTTTCTGCATTCGTGTAGCAGGTGTTGGGTGATTTGTTGGTTGCAGGTGTTGCGGAAGGATGGTTCTGTTTTGCTAAGGAGGTATTCGTGTGTGATCTTGGAGTGTCCGATTCGAAGTCTAGTCATAGCAACCCTAGTCTTCTCATCTCTCTCGATGAAAAAAAATAAAAAGAAAAAATCTCGATGTCCAATTAGAAAGGAAAAAGATGACCGTGACGTGATCTTCGCGTTGCCGCCGAAATTGTTACTCTCTTTCGTGGATAAAACACCTTCTTACGCTCTGAACTACACTAATATTTGCCCGAACCACCTACTTGTCTTTCCCTTCTTCAGTTACGAAACCGAACACCCTTCAATCCGTAACCGCAAATACCCTGAAGCGGCGAGAGGATTCGGACAAGTCGAAATCGCGGCCATGGTCGAGCGGCGAAAAGAGGGATCAAAAAGAGAGAGAGAGAGAGAGAAAAGGAAAAAGAAAACAGGGAATTGCAATTAAAACGGAGGCTACGACGTCTACGACGCGGATTAAGGTATTACGCAAAGAAATGTAGGGGGATTTTTATTCCTCGGGATTTTTGCGACGCGTACTCACTCTTGCGGGACGAGTGTGGAGAGGTGCGACGGCGGGGGTTGCTGCGCCGGTTTCTCCGCTTCCGTGTTAATTATTGGGCCCTCGGGTGTTCGCAGCGCGGCTTCCATCGCCGCGGCTTCCTCCTCCTCGCGCAGCTCCTCCGATGCCTCCTCCGGGATCGTGGTGATATCCTCTATCGGCGGCAGCTCGTTCCCATTCTCCTCCAGATGGTTGTCCATCATCGGATCCGAGTTCTCTCCCGGACGCGTCACCTCCTCGATGTCCGAGTCGATGCCCTGTCCACACCAATTGTCATTCTTTTAGAAGAAGCCTAGGATCTCTGTTACTTGAATCTCTTAGATTCTCGCACGAAGCTGTCTCTTTTCCAAAGGAAATTCGTGAAATCTTCTTCGTCGAGATACAGAACAACTTTGAAAGATTTGGCAACTTCTTAGTAGTCGCTTTACATTTTATAATTTTCTTTCAATGTCAGTCTGCGTCGATGAAGAAGCATCTCGTTAAAGTTTCATCTCCGTCCTACCCTCTTTCTATTCCTCTCTCGACCATCGCGTGAATCACGATGACTCGAGCTAACGAAAAGTTCGAAAAGCCGTACTAACGATATATATATATATATATATATTTTCCGCTCGGCCTTTCCGCGCGTTCCGAGGAAGATATCTGTGAAAGATTATCGGTGCATCGCTGTTGGAATTGGTACCTGGGCGAAATCCATGTAGAAGGAATCCCTGGAGTCGGAGCTGCCCCGGCGGAGCCGGAGGCTGAGATCCGGCGAGCTCTCTCCCATCTTTCTTATTTCCTTTCTCGTTCCTGCTCTTGGCTCTCGCTGTGCCTCCTCTCTGTGCCTCCCTTTGCGCGGCGCCTTCTCTCCACCCCTGTGCTACCAACCCCCTTTGTCTTTTACGAGCTTCTTGCTCCACGGACGGGGAATTCTAAAGAGGGTGGCCCTGCACACACAATCCAGCGAGTTTGCAGCCTGAAAGAATCGTCCTTGAATGACAGATCGTCGTCTCGTTCTATCATCTTGCCCCCTTCTCCCGCGCTTTTCTTTTTTCCAAGCTCGCTCCGCTATCCTCGGCTGTCATCGCGCCTATACCGCCCCTCTCTGTCGTTCGTTCGTTCGTTTCCCGCGAGCGAACGAGAGAGAGAGAGAGAGAGTTGGTCGTTGGTCGTTGACGCGAAACAAAAATGCGCCCCGATGAAAGAAGGGCTGCCTGTGAGTGCCGGTACGTGAGATCGTGAATACCTCCCCTGTCCCGGAGGTCTCTGAATATCAAACGTCCGCGCGCGAATTAAAATTTCACCCCCCACTTCCGCCCCGTGTTGCCCGTGCTACTTTCTCTGAAAACGGACACGCGATTCTTCGAGGGTGAGTATACGAATATTAATCGATCGTTCAGGATGGAATTGGCATTAATCGCGGACGTGGCTCGCGAATGTCTTGTCGGGTATATTCTCAAGTCCCTTTCGAAGGGCAGCCTTCGAAATCTCGATCGTCGCGCGGATAGAGGCGGAAGGGGAGGTGGATAGGCGTGATTATCGGGCGCCTGGTAACTGGATTCAGTTACGTCGAAACTAATTACGAAAGCTAGGAAATTCAATGGAGCCTCCCGTTTGTCTTCGACTTAATTGCCTTAGCCGCGACTCCGACTGGCTGACTTTAATTAAAACTAGGAGATTCGTCGGTCTCGCGGCGAACCCCACCGGCATCAAGAAAACGCGCACGGAGAAAAATCTCATCGGCGCGAACGACGCTTTTTTTTTCTTTCTTTCCCCTCCACCGTCTAATTAAGTCCGACTTGATCGAGCCGATCGAGCCCAGCGAACGCCGCCGTTCGAAATCAATCTTGAAAGCAACTCGGAACTTGTTCGTTCTCGGCGCCTCGTAGCTCTTACAGCTCTCTGGTTTCTTTCGAAACGCGAGGGGAGAACTTAACGCGGCGGAGCTTCTAGTTAACAGGATATGCGACGAGGAATTTTCTCGGCACCGGATACGCCAGTCCGTGGATCTCACCTCGTGAAACGTCGTCTTCGATACACCTTCCCAAAACCGCGCTCCCCTCTCGTCTGAGAGAGACTCGAGACACTTCCACTGCACTCGGCTGTCGTGTTCGGTGCAATCACCGCTCCGGTTATCCGAGAGAAACCCCCCCGTTATTTTTTGGTAACTAAAGTTTGGTAAGCTCCTCTCCCTAAAATATCTGCTGAACGGGGTAGACGCAATCTGGCCGCGGAATAGGGAGGTACTTTGCAAGTAAAATGCAACGTGGGGGAAATGGAAAACGTTAGAGCTAAGTCGTACCTTCGGGGAACATTTGTCTTTCGGTGCGCGATCCAGTCGCCGGCCAGCGAGACGCCACTTCGCCAGGATCTCGTCTGAAAGCCTGAACGTCAATGAACATTCTTCCTGTTCGGGATCAGGCTCGGAACGCCATGCCGGGTCGGACCCTCTCGTTCCTCGAACGTTTTATGGCCAGCGTGCGTGGCGTCGAATATTTCTCCATCAAACGGCTCCCCGTGCACATCACGACATTACTACGGGCCATGGGAGAGATAACGTGGGGTAAGATGCTGGCCTGTGGTATCTTTCTTTCTCGCTGCTCCGTTGGGAAAAGCCGGAAATGTCTGCGGAGAATCGTCGTGCGGATCTCGTTCAGCGCGTTTTCCTGCGACTTTTTTTTCTCTTTTCTTCTTTTCGAAAACGATTCGACTAATTCCCTTGCAATTTTTTTTCTTTCTTTCTTTTTTTTTTTTTTATTTTCTAATTCAAATTGTAAAGTGTAAATTGCGCGGGAGTTGCGAGAGAGGAACGACGTTGTGTGCGTCGTGTTACGTGAAACGATTTCAAACGAGGTGCATGTGGAAGAATCGATACGGAGATATACCATAGGCAGAGTCGTGGAATCGTCGAGGCATACGTTTCCCAGCGATCCGCAGCAACGATTTTCCGTCACTTATATCGCGTGCCGGGAAAGGCAGGTATTTCCATCCGCGTTCATGCTCGCCGGCAGTTCATTGGCTTTTTGCGTCGATAGCCCGTTTCGTTGCTTTATCTAAAACGCGTGCCACGAAAACAAGCCTACGGCGAGTGCACGCAAGCCGATTCTGCCACTTTCCGGCGACCTTTGTACGGATTGTATCGGGGCAGAAAACGCTCCTGGAATCCGACGATAGCACAAACGGGAAACAAAGCTTAATTAGGTCGGGTTCCGATGGAATCTACCGACGCAGTCACGCATAAACGCGGAAGTAAATATCCCTGGATTTTTTTTTTTGTCTCAAAGGAACAAGGAAATTTTTCTACTTCTACCCTTGTTCTACTTTTACCATTCAACACGAACGTTGTCTACAAAGAAAGGAAACGAGGGACTATTACTCTTCGTTGAAAGTGACAGAGAGTAACAGACAGCATTACGTAGCACACTTACGGGGTCTGTGTCTTACACGATCGGACGTTCTCCACGCAGCGTATTCCTCGTTCGTTCATCCCCCCGTGTCCCGGTCCGATTCGTTTTCACTTTCATCCAGCGGCTCGTAATACCTCCTACCCTCCCGCGCGGACATCCGATCGCGTCAGCGGACTCATCAGCTAGCCTCCGGTATCCGGAACCTCCGCGGTTCCATGGTCGGCCGCGAAACGGTGTGTCGAATTCACACGAGAGCACCCACACCACTGACACACGCGACAGAACAATTGACTAACAACCGGGAGACGAGGATCCGCGCGGCCGATCGAGCAAAGTGCAGTTACCGATTCGAGCAATCGACCACCACCACCACCACCGAGTGGTCGCACAAGATCCACACCACGCGTCCGCTCTCTCTCTTTCTCTTTCTCTCTCTCTCTCTCTCTCTCTTTCTCTCTCGTCGTTGTCGCGCGTGCAAACAATCACCAACAACCCGGGGGGAGGTTGTTTTCCCTTGGATATTAATTCGCAAACCGACTGACCGGCCGCTGCGATCGCCACGGCCGCAAACACGGCCAGAACTTGTTGATGCGACCTTGCGCTCGCAATCGAAAGTGTTTCCGAAGCGCGGGTTCAGGGACGACGTACGATCAATCGTGGCGTCGAGACCAGCCACCGAGACGACACTCTTCGGCACCCCCCGAAGGGCGCGCCACGCGAGCCATCGACATCCTGCTGCCAGAGCTGCCGGGCTGCTGCGATGGCCCGGGCGTCGCGATTACAGCGCCTGCGACGCCGCCACTCCCGCCGTCCCACGCCGGCGACGTCGTTGCAGCCACCCCAGGACCGTATCTACCCTCTACGCTTTCCTTCAATTCTTCTACCCCAGTCCCATATATACGTCGTGTCGTCACCCCAGTAAATTCGCCCACGGCGAGAAATTCGGGGAATTTTAGTCGGAGCAACGGAGATTTCTTTGTCGATTCGATCTACCGAGATTGACGATAGATTGCGATTTGAAGGATTTAGTAGTACGTTTTCTTATCTGCTCTTCACTTCACTATTGTAACTATAATTTAAAGAGTTTGTTGGTACAAGGAACTTGTAGTGAAAGAGTGGGCGTTTGAATTAAATTTGGGTAGGGTGTCGTTTGAACTAGTCACAATCCATCGGAGGGGTAAGTAGGTATCGGAGCATGCGCTGCTCGGGGCCGGTAGTGGAAAAAACAGTGTATCGAGTACATCGTTTGGAGACTTCCGCGTGGAGAAAATTTAATGTATTTAATGGCGTGAAAACGGATAAATTTCACCATAACTTCGTCCAGGGTGCAAACGAAGCACGGCCACTTTCGATGAAAGGACTTTCAACGTAATGAAATAGCTTTCGCAAAGGTATACCAAGTATGCGCGTGACCTTCACTTGTTGCACCCAAGAGTGCAACACGGAAATGTATAAATGAGTCACCAATTTAAATGCTACAATCATTTTATTCAATCTTTTTCTTTTCTTCGCTTTTTTTTCGCAGAATGTGTAGATATACATTACAGATAATACGAATAGATAAAGTTACGTTTGTCACTTAACAAATATCAATCATATTCGAATTATTTTTGCTAAAATAATAAAAATATCAGAAGTGTCGCGTACATGTTTATGTCTGTACATTTCTTAATTGTATTTTCTTTATTCCTACATTGTTTCCGTTTTGACAGAGTCACAGAACGAAATCTCATACTTTTTTTCACACGTAACACAAACCAACAAACGAAATGATGCATCGTGAATGTTTTTCCCATTTGCTTACAGTATCTCCGCGAATCAACCGCGAATCGATTGAATTCTTATCACATTTTAAAGACGGAACACATTGCATCGACGTATTATAAAGATGAATTATTTTTTCCGACGCATTTTGGCCATGCCAAGCCTCCGCAGGACATCGACACAATAACATATATGATGACCTACGGGATTCATATAAATAATTTGTTTGGATTCGATGAAATCGCATATAATATCGATTACTTACAATTAGGATGCCACCGACGATAACGTAAATTTTTACATTTTTCCAAAACAACGAGCGCGCCAAATTTCTGCTGGTTTTCCTAAACGTAATCGACTAAAAATAGAGAATGGAGAGAATGAATTTTTTTCACATATCCTTCGCTAAGTAGTTAATAATTTTACTCACATTTGTGCTTAAATTTTCCGTCTTGTTTACGAGGAGTTCTAACCGTTCTCCACGCATCGCAACGTTATCGATGCTCTTGCTCATTATATCCTTCAATTCATCCAAATCGCCAAGGACACTATCTAACACATCGACTTTGTGACTGGACTCATTATAATGTTTCTAAAGAAAGAACTGATATTTATCAAAGACTTGATTACATTTATATAATAGAATTTCCAATGCATCTATACCAATCTTACCATTGTACTAGCTAACGTTCTAGCAAAATCTGTATTCATTGCATAGGGAAGTGCAGTTTGTACATCTTGTCCATACACAGCCAAGAATCTTCCTTTAATTTCTGCCAAGTATAAAAATGCTTTAGATTTTTGGTAATCCTGTAACATATCAGATAAGAATCAATCTTTCTCATATGGTAATTGTTTGATCTCAACAATCTCAAATTCTAGCTTACTTACATTGTCTGTGATGCACATATAAATAATATTATCTTCACAGATGTAGTGAAAAAGATATTGTCCTTGCGAGTATGTAAGCTTGTCATTTTCAACTTTTTTTGCCAGAATGTTCTCTGTTACTTCGTCAAAGTTGCCAGTACAGGATGCATATTTTGCTAATATCGCCGTACCCTTAGCCACCACGCTGTACAGAATTGGCATGACGAATGCTGAAACAAAGAGCAAAGGTCAAAGTTTGATAAATTAGCAATCTCTCAATTTCTTGTTAACCTAAAGCGTTAATCTACGGCGATCTAAGAAACAACTATCGACGAAATAAGAAACTTTTCTTTGTAATTATAAATTTTCTTATCTATTACCAAGCTAATACTTGAAATACTTGAAATAACAATACTTGAAATAATACTATTTGTCGAAAGCGCTGTCGAATCGGCGTAAAAAGAAAATGCTAATACTATCAAAAAGAACTAGATAACAATATTTATAAAACAATGAAGAGACTGAAACATAGATCACAAAGTAAAACGTCATCGTTCCTAACCTCTAAGGAACAATGGAATCCTTCATAAATTCGTTGCCTACACTAAGACGCAGTCAAATAAAAAAAAAAGTAAAATAAATTTATTTTCGAATGATCAACATTCGAATTTAGCAAGATCAACGATCAATTATTTTCTTGACTTACCTCAAATTACTAGAGTGGCGCGAATAAAGGAACGATCGTGAGCACGTTGTGATGTTAGTTTAAAATCGCTGCTGTTCTGCCTTCTGAAATTGCTATGTGAGTAATGTAACTCGATCAACGAATTGACACTGCACAAGAACTATTCTATGAGCCATCCGTATACGTCAACACAACATCCAAGATTATGAGTAACACATGACAGTTGATTATTGCTCATAGCACATAGTTCACTGACATGCGCACTGCTTGCGGCGCGTAATTTGAAAGAACGTATTTTTCGCGCTCGGTTTTCTTCGCAAAGCGAAAGCAGAATTTTCATCTATGAAGACAATTTAACATTACAGTAGAAATGTTCAAATCCTTCAAATCAGAAAGATGTAAAATTGCAAAGATGCACAATAGTCTTTATAATTACGTTATATGATTTGGCTTACGTTTTGTTACTTACAGGGTTCAAACCGATTAGCCAAAAACGATTGGAGTGTAAAAGGTAAGAAATTCTTATGTATTTGTGTCGATGATGTTTCCTTAAACTTAAACTATATTTGAATTTCGCTCCAAAAGTTGACGAACGCATGGAACGCACGCGTTCGACTTTGGGAACTCGGGAGCGACACAATTGGCCCGGGATGCGCATGTCAAAAGCGACAGAGAACTTTGGCATCAGTTTTCTGGATTTGCCAGCTGCGTACGGTTCGATGGCTCTTCACACGTGGTCGCGTGCTGATCAGTGCATCGATGCTATTTACTACAATGGGGAAGGGAGATAGCAGAACGTAAAAACGGATAGATAACGGTGTTTTCGCCGCGAGGAAGAGACGGTGTCGCGTGCACGCGGAACCTAACACTCAGTTTGTCCTCGACCGGCGTACACGCGACCACCTTCAGAGCTTTCGTCATTATTACTCCCAATTGCCGCTATTTCGTCGTTTCTTGCTTGTTCTGGTTGCTTCGACATTGACCATGATACTAGGTAAATATATTACATCAATAAATATATTGAACGTTGATCGTGTCTACATTAATATTTTTTTTTTTTTTTTTTTTTGAGAATATTTCGACCGTAGAATCTTTCCATCTCGTGTTTTTCACGCAAACTATAATTAATTAACTTGGCAAGATTTTTCTGAGTTGTTCGATCTTTTTTCTTTTTCTTTTTTTCTCAAGAGAAATGCAAATAAGAACATGCAAATCTGTTTTGGAGAAATATATCTTATATTATGTATGATTCCTAAGTATTATCGCTACGTTGTTTGTTATGTTTGTGTACATATCTAACGCGGTTATCAAAACGTTCTTTCATTGATACGATATACAGCAAAAAATTGTAGAGATACGTTGATTTTCTAAAAAAAAAAAAACTTTACGTAAGAGTTATATTCGTTCGGTTATATAACTCTTCCATGAGATAATCGACTCTCAGAATTTGTAATTTAAAGTTGTTATTATTTCTGTGGTTGGTAGCGTGTTGGAGAGTAACGCCCTTGGTATTGATTTTAGCAAAAGGCGTCCGTTGTCACCCCGTACGATTTCCCTTCTTTCCTTCAACTTCTCCAAAACAGTAAATCAATAACTTTGAACGAAATGCCAGGTGTTACGTGCACAATAAATATAGTACGTCATATAAAATGCAAACTAAACGATACACGAAAATTCAATGATTGCTCTTTACAACATACACGAATATTTAAGCTGAGATAAGTGTACTTATTTATTTCATCATATTGGTAGCAACGTAGATAATTATGTATAGTAGTATATTTAAAGCAAGGCTAAACGTTAGACAAATATCAATAATTGCTATGAAGAAAATTTGTGAGATAAGTATGTAAAAATTTATGGAACACAGATATGTTAAAATGCAAAGTAGTATTACTTTAGCAAATGAAACAAATCTTTCTGGGTCTGTAAAAATATAAATTCGTATAGAAATCCACTAGCCATTGGGAACATTCTGTGTTAATAAAAAAACTGCGACACATTCCATGCACATCTTCGAAAGTGCACAACAGGCTTCTGTAGCCTACTTTCTCGCGTATCAGTGATACCGGGCATTTTGTTATAGACAAATTGCGCGAGTCGTCTAATGTACTGTACACCTGCTGTTGCAATATTCCGTTACGTTCGTTCCGATTTCTCACGATCGAAAGAATGTCATTTCGAATTTCAACCATCTACAGTATAACGCCATTTCATCTGTTTCCGGTCGGCTGAAAAGAATGCCGGTTTCTGTTCGTTCGAGTACCGTTAACCGCGCCACGAACATTAACGCCCAATTTGCATCCATTCGAGATTGTTTCTGGAATGAAATTTTATAAAAATGCAAATAGGACGGAAGCATGTTTTGAACGTTCCATTGGAAGAACATCTGATCGACATTGGCGCGCGAAGTTATTTCATTTCACCCGCATTCCACGATTGTTCGACGATTTCCAATTTGATTCGTATTTCTCACAGATTATAGACGTCACATTGCTTGTCATTGTTTGTCAACTGACGAAGAATTCGAGGAATCCGCAGAATTAGAGACGCGAAAACTTTCACGTTTCGGTTGATATAAGTTTAGACAACGACGGAAGTCATATACACTGTTCAAAAAATGAAAGAATTCCGTTCGTTTCTCCTCTAAAACACTCGCTTCGTTCGTGTTTTGCATCGCAAATAATTCACTGGTCTCTCTGAAACACATAGCCTGAAAAAAGTTGATATTGAACTTGAGAAGTGTGTAGTCATCATCAAAACAAGAAGCAAACGAAATCTGAAAAAGTTTCTGAAGGAGTTATTAGATATTTTTTTATTTTAAATCTCGTCACACACGTGCTGTAAGGATAATATCATTGTAACAAAAACATAACACAACTCTGAAACTAATAGTTTTTGGTTTTACACGTATTAAGACGTTTTTGCTTATTTTGACGTGTGTTACACGCTTCGGAAGTTCGGTAACTTTGTATAAATCTACGGAAGTAACTAATCTACTTGAACCTAATTAATTCGATGTTTTCAACGCTTCCACGTTGCTGAGACGATCTTCCGAGGCAAGAAGTTCTACGTGTTCTATTTTATCCGCGTGTTATCTGAATGTTTGCTCGCGGCTGCCGGCGAGTCGATTTCGCAACGGGCCGTTTTGCATGGCCACTTAACCGTAGAGAGAATTAATATGGCTGAATGTTTGGCTGGCAGACAGAACGCGGTTAACGTACGTGTCCGCGGCAGTTGTCGGCGCCGGCACCATGGTCGTCTTCTTTTGGTGGTGGTGGACCAAGAGGCAGAAGGAACGGCCACCATCGGAATGGCGAAAGGTCGGCGAGTTGAGCGACCTGATTGTGTACCCGGTTAAGTCGCTTGGCCCTGTTCGAGTCAACTCGCTGGAGTGCACGAAATTGGGCCTCAAATCCGGCTGGCTGAGAGACCGAACTTTGATGGTCATCGACTTGAACGGACATTTCGTTACCGGCAGACAATGGCCAAAAATGGTCCAGGTAAGAAATTTGCAGTTAGTTATACTGTTTCTTTGCGATCAATAGAGATTTTTACGAACTAAAGGAATAGAATCTAAATCACGATGATATTATCACGAGTGTTTTATTTTGTAATACTGCGTGTATTTTATATTGAATCTTCGCAATCTATTGATCGCTTGTATTGAGAGGTTATCAATTCTTATCTATGTTTATCAATTCTCGAGACATTTCCGAATCGAGCAATGTCGACGCGTATCTCGTTGCCACTCAAAGATCTGATATTGATATTGAGATATCTTAAGGATCTTACGTTGTGAGAATACGAAAGAGTATGAGTAATTTAACCCTCTGATCTGTAGCCACAATGCAACGCTGTATTTTTATTTATATTTAAAATAAAGTACTAGTATAAAGCTCATGGAAACTTATCCATAAAATCTATTTTTAAGCGAAGTAATTACCAGTTCTAAGCATATTCTTGTGATATACAGTGCGATACATTGTAGATTGCATAATCTGATTAGCGTATCTTGATGTGGCGCACGTAGAGGATTTTATCTCCGTAACGAGGCGCGTGTTCAAATTGTACGATCAATCATTAAAAAACAAAAAAGGAAGAAGATGTGAAATCGTTGTGAAAGTTGGGAAGTGGAAGGTAGAAACGAATTGATGTGCGATGATCATGCCCATTTTTTCCCATTGCTTGCGCACGCTTCACAAGTCGTTAGATCTCGTTAACGCTACGGTCCTGGAAGTTGTAGATCAGGCTGGATTTCCTCCTCCGAGCCGCTATCTTTTTAACACGACTCCGCAAGGGAACGTGGAACTTTTATAATCGGGATTAACGAGCCGTTTCGGAATCGTCGTGGAAACTTGTGAAATTAACTGTCGGAGCGAGTAATTAAATCCACCACTCCGCGGTGATATTTAGTAGTGCACCTAGTAATACAAATAGTTTGTCTCCGTTCAGCCAGCTATTTCCGCTCTGATTGAACGACATTCCTTTACTTTCAATTCGTCAACGTGTCTCTCGTCTCGGAATCTCGATACAATCTGTTTCAAAAATCTGTTTAATCACTATCGTACTCCGACACGATGTAATGAGATGATAAAAGATTCAGAGTGTATCGTATACCAGTAGTAAGTCGATGATCTGATAAATGGAATCTTTGCTTTCAAGGTGATGCCTAGCGTCTCTGGATCGATCCTCACGCTATCTGCCCCGGGAATGATGTCCATGTCTATCGATTTATCGCGAATCAAGGGAAAAGGATTCCGTGTGGCGGTCTGGGGTCAGCCTGTATCCGCCAGCGATTGCGGCGAGGAAGCTGCCAGATGGTTGTCTCGGTTTATTCTTCAGGAAGACACTGGATTCAGATTGGTTTACTATCCTTTGCATTATCCAACAAGAGAAGTCAGGTCGAAGAACAAAATTTTCTTGGTGACAGCTGACGATACTGTAAGTTCAACCTCGATTCAGTCGCAGTGTTTGTTATCGGTTATTAAAGTCTCACGATGGAATGATTTATTACCAAATGTAACAGGGCGCATATCCAGATTCTACTAGTTACTGCTTAATAAACGAAGGTTCGGTAACTGAACTGAATACTCGTTTAGAAGATCCGGTCACGCCAGAACATTTTCGACCAAACTTCGTCGTCAAAGGCTCCACTGCATACGAGGAGGACAGCTGGGGTTGGGTAAAGATAGGCAATGTCACGTTCAAGACTGTAAAGCCGTGTACAAGATGTATCTTTACTACTGTCGATCCAGAGACTGGGAAAAAGAACCCAAAGGCTGAGCCTTTGAAGACCCTAAAAAGGTTTGCTTTCAATCCGGCAGCAAGCATGTAGGAATCCAGCGAAATGATTGTTCGGATAATTATTAACATTATGATTTTTCCACCTGTTAAATATTTTTTCTTGGATTTTCTAAAGTAAAGTTAATATTCGTATATATGTTTATATGTATCTTTGTGAAGAAACGTAAAACATACAGATATTCGTATACATTGTGGTGAACAAATGTTACTTTTCACTGAGCACCCAGTACGAAACGAGCATAAGAAATCCACGTGTGTACTGCCTGGTTGAGTATCTCAAGCTTTTTTTACATTTGAATTAAAAATGACGTGTGTTTATTCTAGTTACAGGCAAATAACGGATTCAGTTTTTCGTCCAATGGCTGGCGAGAGCCCAGTAATGGGAATCCATCTGGGACTGAGAGGTTCCAATGGTACCGTGCGATTAGGCGATCCAGTTTACGTCGGTCTACCGGAGGAACAACCGATATTAATATCGCCCCCCTAGCTACACCGATGGGCTTCCTGCGAAGACGAAATTTTCGTCTTCGAAGAAGCCACCGGGTCTCTGAAGGAAGACAATTTGTCAACAAATTCGAGCAACGAGAATACGTAGCGTCGAGTCTAAAATTGTATATCTCATCGTCGAACAAGGCCTAGAAACACAATTTCTTCGGAATTGTTCTCCAAATTAAAGGTAGTCGCGTGATAACGATGGTTCAAATCTCTTTGCCAAGTGTGTTTTCCGCTTTAAAACTGAAACGTTTATTGCCTGAGATAATAATTAGTGAAGAGAGTCACAAATATCGTATTTTTGCTAAATGTTGGTCGTGGATCAATGTTTCTATGGACGATATATAATGTAAGTGATCGTACGAGAAGCGTTCCCTGTTTATACATATTTGTATCGAGTATATTGCCACAAGGAATAAACGAATCGCGGGTAAATGTGCTTTGCAATTGACAAAAGTCCCGGTAGACAAAAGTTACGATAATAATATTTATTTATTTACACTACAAAATAATTAAAGGGACGATTTACAATAAGTGAAACAATACATCCAATTCGAAGATGGACATACACTTGTACGGATATTGGACGATCTATTCCGGAGCTCTGAGAATAGTATTTTATTTCGTATGCGACATAAAAATGGTCGAATAAATTTCAATTTCTACGCTCATATTATACAAGGTTTGTGGAATTCTTTTATCAAATGGTCATCGTAGTCGCTACAGTAGGTTGGTAATCCAACGGACAAGGAAACGCAGGCTGCTCAACAGGGAGAACACTTTTTTTACGCGTAAATGGACGCGAGAGGGAAGAAATAATCAATGCTTGGCACAGTTGCGTTTCAGAAACAACTATATACATTTATTCGTCAGATTTTACTCGATCTTAGGTCGCTTTCTTTTTTTTTTTTTTTTTAATGGAATTACATCGAAATATAATAATATAATATTCGCAACAAGTATAAAATACTTGAGATTTCAAGGAAAGTCGCGCAGAAAAAAAAGTGTCGAATTTTGGACGAAAGTTCGAGTAAAATGAATCTCGGTAACTCGCTAACCGCTATCAAGGAGAATCTATGGTGTATATCGTAAAGAGGAAAAAGTATTAAAGAGAAAAAGAGAACGTTGGAGAATGCGAGACAGAAGACGAGAAAGTGAAAGACTAAAGGAAGCGAAGCAGAACAAAGGGGAAGGACAGAGGCAGTTCGACGTATGAACTGAAAGTCGCGAGGTTACGTTATTTAGCTTAACGAGGACAATTTGGTAGCATCGACGAGGCGTTTTGGATCTCGGGGACAAGGGGGCAACGGTGATCACGTTGCCAACGTCGTACCCGTGTTCCTGCTCGATAATCACGGCTCTCACGTGGCTGCCGAGCGTTCCAGGATCGGATCTTCGCTCTCACACTTGGACATCTTATCGCTGTCGCATTTCAGCCAGCTCTAGATGATGGACGTGATCAGTCTCGCCTTGAAGTTGACAATCCGTTCGCTCGTGGCTGCCAGGCGCTGAAAAAAAATGCCTTCGTTAAATTCGATCGTTTGAAGAGTTCAATGCGATAAAGTACTCCTAGGCTAGGAGCAAGCAACAAGTGTCGGTGAAAGGATACAGGAAAGGAAATTTCCAATCTCGACCGACTTCTCGATCTTATCATTGTACAATATACACGTATATAGACATTCCTCGCGCAGTCGATCGAAACGTTACATTTTTGGAGAAGAAACAGCCTAGTCTGTGAGACGCGAATATCTAAGTTCGATTACTAAGCGATTCTCTTCCTGTAAAAGGCAAGCATACGATTTGAAAACCGCTGAAAAATGCTCTGCAACGCTTTCGACGTTTCGATTATCCGCGCGACCGCGGTTTCACCGTGACACAGAGAAACCGATCATCGATCGGTTAAACATCGTTCGGTACGATCATTCCGACGTGCGTTCATAGATTGTTCTGCAACGTGGCTGGAGACTCGTAACGGCGAATTGCCGATTTATTCGGCCTTTGATGGAAGCAAACAGATTCCGGGCAATGTACGAAGCGTGAACGCTTTCGTGCCGGTGCGTACATTCGCCGAAGGTTGCGCATAACAAGCACGATTAACTTTAATAACACTCGCCGAGCCGGCGATACCTTAACGTTGTAACTGTTTTTCTGTTGCTTTCTCTGCGTTTCTCGCGCCGCGAACGCTTTGTCGTCTCGGACAACCATGATTAAGACGCGGTTTGTCAATTACACGCGAAACGAGTCGAGAAAAAAAAAAAAAAAAAAAACGCTAGATCGCCGGCGGTTTCGTTTTTCTAGCGAGTTCCTGCACGCATTCTTTTTCGGGACGCTTTCTTCCCGCTCGAATTCCAAACGAAACGCGCAGAAAAATCTCCCGTCACTATCCGTTGCGTTTCCTCTTCACGCTCGCTGATAATAAGATCGATCAATTAGACGAAGCATCTCGAGCATTCCTCGCAACGAGACAACGATCTTTCGAATAATAGAGTAGTTTTTTTTTTTTTTTTTTGCGGAACTGTATCGTACGAGAACTATAGCCGGAACGTTGTAGAGATTTCGAGGCGAGATCAACGGCCCCTGACCAACTACTTCCCTGTGAGCCTCTCCGAGTCGATCGGTTTCGCTTTCGTTGAAAGTTCACCGTGCGCCAGAGCGAAGCGCGACTCGCTAGCGAAACGTTTAAATTTCGGTTATCGTAACGTCTGATGCACCGAAATTGTTAATCATAATCAGAGATAAAATTGGACACGTTTCAATTGCATCTGCACAATCAGGACAATCGACGTCGATAATTTGTAATTTCTAATTTCGACGAAAGAAAAAAAAAAAAAAAAAAAAAAGAAAAAATTGCCCAATCGCGATATTAGTTTTGCAATTAACTTTGTTGGTTATTGGAACGTTATTACGCGTTGTTGAGTATTCTGGAAACGTTGGGAAATAAATTGCACGCGAAACGTCGATACACTAATGAGGGAATCGTGTCATCGGTAAGGTCACTGAAGGCCGAAGGATCTGCAACGATCGCAGGAGCTGATCAGCAGCCACATCCTTGGCGATATCGCGTGTCAGGAGCTACGTAGCAACGGGCTTGCATAAGTCAGACGGCAAATGGACGAGCTATTTCGTAGAGAAAGTCGCTTACATTTTTGCTTTCCATCGATCTTGACGGGGATGGCTTGCGTAATCGCCCGGTTTTGTATCTAGAACGACAAACGCTCGCGACATGCTCGCGCGACTTTCGGCGAAATCCTCGCGGCGAAAGATCGGCCAACGCCCAGAGATTTACAATCTCGTTCGCGGGGAATTCTTCCGAAATTATATCGATGTTGATTAATAATTGCACGCTTGTACGCTGATTTAACACGCGTGTCTATGGTAAAAATGAACGTAGAGGAAACTCGTTGAACATAGTTTTTTAGTTCGAACGGAATATATCAACCTTTCAACGTGCGTGAATTTGTTTCTTGCTCGGTTTCAGACTGATTAATTTTTAAATAATCATCCCGATATAAAACGACGTAGGAACGTATCTGTGTACAAAGTGTTTCGTAACTTGTGGGACCCATTTCGGGAGCTGATTGTAAAATATGAAAACAATAATGAAAAAGAGTCATATAAATATATGTCCTATCTGTCTTCGTTTATGAGATATAATGAATTTTCTGTTTTAATTACTTTTACAAAAG